CCTGGAGAGGGGTTTACAACACTAGCGTCAAACCCCAAATTAAACAATGTTATGTGTTATCATGCTTAATGGGAGAATATGTTTTAGTTCTGGAGACACATATAACAGGACTGCCATAACCAAATTTTTATACAATCTACTGATGTCCCAATGAAGGTTATTTTGCAAATGGATCTTCACTTTTTCTTTTTTTTTACCAATTAAAACTAATCAATTAAAACACCTTGCATTTCTCTATTTCCAATCAGACAACCATAAAAACCAATTAAACCAAAACAGTGACTAAATATTGAGCTGATGTGATCCCTGAAGGCAGTTCAATCCATAAGTAAAAACTTGGGAAAAAGCCAACTGCTCTTTTTGATGAATTGGAGACAAATTTGTTTGAAATGTAATTTGCAAATGGTCACACAATCTGCACACATCCCAATGAGGGTTATGTGTGAATCTTCATTCAAATCTAATCATTCAGATTCATAAGAAATTTGACATTAATGAAAAAGTTACATTTTTTTGGTAAGTCAGAGCTTTAAAAAGCAGCAACGTTCTGAAATTGTCCTTTCCAAAGAAGAAAGGCGTTCATTCAATACTGAAAAAGAAACCATGGGGGAAAGTAAATGACAAAAGAATTTCTAATATTTTTTTATTTAACATCAAGCCATCAGTGACTGAACCACATGCTGCTTTGACTCCCGAAGGCAGTTCAATCCTTATGCAGGAGGGTATGACAAAAGTACAGCACATCTGTGTTCATTTAGTCACAAAGATGTCAGGTGGAAAGCTTGAAAATAATCACACAAAGAGGCCAAATATAGATATGTAATCCCGGTATCAGTTGCATGAATCAGTTTGAAAGTAACTAAATTAAATGTTTACTTTCCAAAGTAATTTGTCATGACTGTTAAACTTTAATGGTGTTTTAATTGGGCAAATAAAAGACATCAAAACAAGGATGAACACAGTATTGAGTTACTATGCCATGTTTATTTTTTTTACAGAACGTGACTACAGAAAGACTTTAATGTCATAAAAAAGGTGAAGCACTGGTATGAGGTTAAAGTCTCTTCCAGCATAAAGAATCAGTATGTCAAGCTCTACAACTGATAGTGTAAAACCATTTGCATAAACACCTCCAGGCCACAACAATATATTGTGTGACAGGGACTGTACAAGGCACAAATACAGAAATGCAGAACAGAAATGGATACAGAGCAAAACAGTTTCCAGAAGTAGAAACATTTATACTCAAAGAAACGGATTTAACAACTGATAAATCTTTAAAGACAGCTGTTGTGAGCTTTGAGGTTTAGGCCATCTGTTTTTTTTTTTTATCTTATTTACAAAAAGGGAGTTTAAAAAGTAGTTATGCAGGGAAAGTACAACTGAATTTCCCATTAAGCTGTACAGAAAAATACCAATCAGAGGGACCAATAATCTATTAGCAAAGTCTAAAGCACAGGGCGCAAGGCATCAAGGGCATGTCCAAATCCACTTTTGCTATTTTAAAGATGGAAAAATAAAGTTTGCGCTGCAGAACATGGTCTAACATGGTTGTATTCTCTTAATGAGTTAGGGTGTGTTTCGAGAATAACGTGTACTAAACCAATGAGAGTCTCATCTCCCATTTCCTTTAAGAGAAGTTGAGTCGCGCCATGACACATTTACTATTTACATGGTGGACTTAGTAAATGGAAATACTGAACACTTCACTAGCAAGAAAACAGTAAAACAAACCATCTGCGGTGAGAGGATAAAGAACGAGCCTCCTTCATTTGGCCTCTTTACTTTCGCTTTCTCCTCACTTTTACTCTTTACTCCTTTCGTGGAGATGGTGTTGTATGTACTCCACTGAAGACATACATTAGCCTACATACTAAATTTTGTTTGTTATGCACAAACATTTGTTTCAAAACTATTTCTAAATTCAGTTCTTATTTCCAGCAAACGAATAAATGAGCAATATTAACAAAGTATGTTTGGAGTTATATCCAAACACACGTCTTATGCCCCATATGGTCAAAAACCCGACAGGTGGACAATTCTAAGCCTGTTTTAGGGCTGTGCAATTAATCAAAAATCCGATTTTGATTTTGGCTTTTAACGATTATAAAAAAACATTAATCTAAATAAACGATTATTCCATCACATACCGCCCCTTTTCCAGTTGTACACATGTTGCTCTGCAAAGCTCAGTTCCACGTGAAAGTGACTAAAAGCATGTGCTGTAATGTAACTTTTTCAGCATTAATATTATTGATTATTAATCAATAATAAAATAAAAAATACAGTGAATATGCTTAAAGCACAGTTTAAACACAACAGATTTAATAACTCATTTCTAATAACTTATTTATATTATCTTTGCTATGATGACAGTACATTATATTTTACTAGATATTTTTCAAGATACTAGTATTCAGCTTAAAGTGACACAAAGGTTTAATTAGAGTAATTAGGCAAGTCATTGTATAACAGTAGTTTCTTCTGTAGACAATCAAAAATATATATTGCTTGAGGGGGCTAATAATATTGAGCTATTAGAATAGGTTTCAAAATATTTAAACCTGCTTTTATTCTAGCTGAAATAAGAAGAAAAAATATTTTAGGAAATACTGTAAAAAAAATCCTCTGTTAAACATCATTTGGGAACTATTTATATATAAAAATAAATTCATAGAAGGGCGAATAATTTTGACTTCAACTGATAATCGTTTTGAATAATCGTGATTATGATTTTTCACATAATCGAGCAGCCCTAGCCTGTTTGTATTAAAACAAATCTAAATATTTATATAAATAATAATAATAATAATCATCATCATCATAATAATAATAACATTATATGAAAGTAAGTTGTCATGAATAAAGTGAAAAAAGCCCCATGAGATGAAGAAAGAACAGAGCAGGCGGTTTTTATATTTATGTGGAAAATAAATTTTGTAATATTTTAATCCTTTAGTTCCTTTTTTCATTTGTAAATTTGCATATTGCTGTACATTGCCTGTGTGTACTAAGCAATATGTACGCATTTAAGGCGCATAACTAACGCGCTCTGCGCTGCACTTTAGACCTGCTTTCAGCTGATCAATTGCACAGTAAATTTTAGTTCCTCAAAATAGCAATGTGCCAACAATGCACCTTAACATACCTCCTTTCTAGACCGACACACCCATGATTCCACAAAGCGCTGAAAATAGCAACACATCACGCCAAACACGTCTTGCACCTTTTTGCGCCAGGTGTATGATAGGGCCCAGAAAGTGACAGTGTGCAATGTGTGCCAAATGAAATCTTTGACTCAACGCACTCAAATGAAGTCCTCCTACACTCAAAACTTTCACATTTTGAAATAAACATTGAAAATGTATTCGATAAGTACTTATAACAACTTAATTTTTTATTTCTCCATTGTTTTCAATATTTATCCACAACGCTTCACAGAGAGTAGTTCTTTGCCTATTTAAAGCGCTTTGCTTTCAGTTGTAGTATTTTTTAGTATACTCTGTTCTAAATATTTGGGTGTAGATACAGCTGGTTAATTACAATCTCGATAATAAATATTGTAATATTTTGTAGAGCACAATGCTCAACGTTTTTTATCAAAATTATAGGGTTAGTTTACCCAAAATTGAAAACTCACTGTTTACTCACCCTCAAGTGATTCCAAATTTGTATGCGTGCCTTTCTGATTTTGAACACAAAATAAGATATTACGAAGAAAGTCAATGATTACAGGTTTTCGATATTTTTCTAAATATCTTCCTTTGTTTTCAACAGATGTAATAAACTCAAAGGTTTAAAGCATGTTAGAGATGAGTAAATAATGACAGAATTTTCATTTTTTGGGTAAACTATGCCTATAATATTATAATTATTTAAAATAACAACAAATTTAGATCTTTTCCACAGTCTAAATTAATACATATTTTGTCTCGACTGTGTGGGTATTCCAAGCCTAACTGCCATTGCAAGTGTTCTTCATCTAAGCATATTTCTAAATCCTCAGTTGTATTATGGAAATCTTCAACATGACTGAGCGGAATGAAAGTTATGGATGTCCCTCTGAAATCTGTGGTGTGCTTTTATGATTCAGTCAGAGGGAATTTCAGAGCTTTGTCACTCTCAAGGGTGCTTTCATCCTTAATGTACAACACCGGAGGGCAGAGCAAAAACCTCCATCACTCTGACAATGACCTTCCACAGGTGTGAGAAAAGGACTTGTTTTTGGATTAATTATCAACCTGCTTTAATAAATAAATATATAAATAAATAAACAACTTAAACCAGCTCAGGTTGCTGTATTTATTTAGTTTAGGGTGGGGTTTTGTTTATTTAGCCAAGCAATTTGCTGCGTAAAAAACCCATCATATTTGGTGACCCAAAGGAAATTAACAAGTTGCATAGTTACTTCAGTAACCCTTTATAAAACATTTAGTGTTATATTTATGAGACATACTGCATTTCCCATATTTAACAACTTTGTGACTGAATTCTGTGAACATGCCATAACCCTTACTGACACTGCAGCTTGTAACATTGGCCAATTTGCATCTAAACATTAGCGTATGTGAATAAATATTACTTATTGTGATGTGTATTTGTATTTTTTTTTTTACATTTCAAACAAATGTTATCTTTGATAGAATAAATGGGTTTAGTAATTTCTGATTGACTTTGAACTTTTGAGGTTTTTGATTGTTTGTTTTTAAAGTTCTATTCTTATTATTCAATTGGTCAAGTCTTATATTATGTGTTCTTTCTAATCTAAACCATAATAAAATACAACTCCTCGCAATATATAGAGGAAAACTATAAAATGTTATGTGTATATAAAGTTATAACCACACGAATGCATATATTTTTATGTATGCATTATGATACAGCATCCACCTTGCCCGTGTCACTTCAACAGGTTCATCCACACACCTGATAATAACCCATATAGCCTCATCAAAACTCAGCCTGCCTGGCAGGTTTTCTGGCGTTTTCCTCGTCCTTACCTTCCAGCATAACTTCTTTCCCCGCTTTCTTCAGCACCTGCACCGCCTCGTCGTGCGTGGCGTCCCGCAGATTGATCCCGTTCACGGACAGTATCGCGTCGCCCACGTACAGCGCTTGAGTCTGATCCGCGGCCAGACCCTTGAATATCTTACTAATGAGAATAGGCATCTTATTCTCCTTCCCGCCTTTGATGCTGATCCCTAATCCACCGACCTCCTGCTTGATCACTTTGACGCATCTCTTGCGGTTCGCAATCGCTTCGGGCACTTGTGAATCCGAAAAAGGAGTTCTCGCTCCGGTTTTGGGACTGTTGGTGGGGTCCGGTTGGTCGTAGGAGCCGTTGGTGGTGATGCCGTTCAGGCTGACGCTGGTGTCCGCCGCGGGATCCTCGCAGCTGAGCGTCAGAGACTCGTCCCCTAAACTCGCCAGCACCGCGTGCCATTGCTCCCGCACCAGCACCTCCAAACATGCACTTTTCTGCACTCTGTTACCGCAAACCGCCATCTTTGAAGCATTCTTAAAATGCCATGTGATTTCATACACTCGTACAGGACTTTACCCCCGAACAGGGAAAAAGTTGTGATTCAGGTTGAATAGTTTCAGCCCCTCCACATGCATATCCTTTTTGGGTGGAGCAAATGTCTGAGATGTCCTGTGTGGCCATGCTCAACTGCCTCTCGCTGTCAGAAAATGTTTCGTTTCAAGTCTCCGTGTGGGATGTATCTTTTAAATACATCGATGTATTTGATAGATACATTACATCCCACACGGAGATTACATAAAGTAATGTTCATTTATGCAAATGTCTTTGCAAAAAATAATGGCACACGGCTTCAGATTGCATTTAGCTGTCACTTGGTATTCAATATGCGTGTTTACAAACTCTATTATGACTTTCAAGGCTAATGTACGTTAATGTTAGAAAAGTTATGTTCCTGAAAATCCTGCCGTTAAACTTGCCTCAGCTGAACGTTCACGAGCGTTTGTTTACCTCGTGGAAACACGCTGCCACTCATGTGGTTGGGAGACGCCAAATATAATAAAATACAGCTATATTTATAAAGAGCATGTTTAAAAAAACACACAGTAACCACCTATAATTAGCGCCTTGTTTTAAGTACTGAACATGGATTTCCGCTGTTGTAATTCCATCACTGTGCCGGTTTGGGAAAGAATCTGTTTTGCACCCCCTAACACATTATTTGATGGTTCTCTTTAAATGTACATAACTGGGGGAACAATTATGTCGATTATTCTCAAGCAAGATGATAAAAACATTTATGTGTGTTGCTTGTTTTTTCTCACGAAAAAAAACTGCCGTGTTCCTATTATCTAGACGGTCTACAATTTAGTGGCGTAAACGATTTTAGCGCCATCTGGTGTTTAATATTGGTTTGTGCATTTTTGAAATGATATTCACCTTCAATACACTGGACTTGAAGCTGTTTGAACTCTGTTAATTAATTTTCTTTTTATCTTTCACTAGGGCCTATTTCGCCAACACAGTGGCGCAGTAGGTAGTGCTGTCGCCTCACAGCAAAAAGGTCACTGGTTCGAGTCTCTGCTGGGTCAGTTGGCGTTTCTGTGTGGAGTTTGCATGTTCCGACTGCGTTCGCGTGGGTTTCCTCCGGGTGCTTCGATTTTCCCCACAGTCCAAAGACATGCGGTGCAGGTGAATGGGGTAGGCTAAATTGTCCATAGTGTATGAGTGTGAATAAGTGTGTGTGGTTGTTTTCCAGGGATGGAATGCGGCTGGAAGGGCATCCGCTGCGTAAAAACGTGCTGGACAAGTTGGCGGTTCGTTCTGCTGTGGCGACCCCGGATTAATAAAGGGACTAAGCCGACAAGAAAATGAATGAATGAAGGGCCTATTTTTGTTTTATTGATTTTTTATCATTCAAAGCCTTTAAACTTAGAATAAATAATAATGTTTGAACTTATTTTATTGATGCTTCTTTTTACTTTGCCAATTTTCTTATTTTTTATTGCATGTGCTATAACATGTTCCCAACATCTTCTGCAGAGCACTTTATAAAGAGATTTGAGACTTCAATTAAAGATTCTTGCTACTGTAAAATGTAGAAACAAGATATAACTAAGATAAAAAATATAGTAACATCTGACAATATGTGCATATTTGAATAAAGCAATCACCTCTGTGCTTGGCTGATGATCAAAGCAAGGAAAATAAAAAACTAAAGATTAAATTAGCAAAGTAATCATTTTCTCTACAAATTGTTGCCAAACTGATAGGGATTTAAAAACTGTTTCATGTTGCATTTCCTTTCTGATTTGTTGACGGTGAAGCAAACATTTTTATCCAATTTAATACAGTGGAAAAACATGACAAGACTGATTTCATTAAGACTGAGAACAATGCCATTGTTCCATTGAATTAAAAGTGTTCTAAATCTGTTTCATGTCCCTCTCGGTTTGATTGGGACAAATTTAAGGATTAAGACTTGCATGAAATGTACAGGTTATCCCTAAAACAGCTTGCAGGAATCCGTGACTGAAATTTACAAGGGCTGCTGTACCAAAGGGAATGACTTTTCCTTCTTTTTTTCTGAATTGTGAAAGTACTTTTTGTCAGTCCCTGATGATTGTGAAACAGCAGGGAGGCACATGCAGCTCATTAGAGTTGAAATAAAAGACCATGTTGAAACGTTCATGCTCTCGGGTGTACAGAGAAAAGAGAAAGACTCAGGGGTGAAAGACAGATGCAGTCGTACACTTTTGTTACTTCGACAAGGTAACTTCTATTTGTGTAGTCCGAAAATGATCTCAAACTACAGTAACTATAGTGTCTGTCAACGCGTGATATCCTTAATGGCAATATTTCTTTCAGAATTTTAGATTGAGACTTTAAATGGGACACAAGTGCTAACTAATTTCGATTTTTCTTCATCAATGTACCATCCCAAGTTGATGCTTTAAGGCATGGTTCACCCAAGGTTCCATGTTTGAGTTTTCATGTTCTTCTCGCGCCTGCATGAGTTTTGTAATGTAATGTAATGTGTATTTATATAGCACATTTATTGTGTATGGCCATACACCCAAAGCGCTTCACAATCATGAGGGGCAGTCTCTCCACACTTAGTGCCCACTTACAGTATAGTGTCCCCTTCACTTTTACTGGGGCATTAGGACTCACACAGACCACAGGTTGAGCGTCTCCTGCTGGCCTCTCTAATACCACTTCTAAAAGCAGCCTAGTTTTCCCATGTGGTCTCCCATCCAGGTACTGACCAGGCTCAGCCCTGCTTAGTTTCAGTGAGTAACCAGTCTTGGACTACAGGGTGATATGGCTGTCCTCTCTTTGCAAAGTACAAAGACATACAGTATATTGGTCAAACTACAATAAGCAAAGAGTTTGAATAGGTAAGTCTGTGGGTAATTCCCAGGACTGGTGGTTGCACAAGTGAGTGTACTCTCAGGGCATCCACTGGTAAAATATGTGCCAGAGTCTGTGTGTGTGTGTGTGTGTGTGTGCGCCCACACACAAAAACGCACACACACACACACACACATATACACACACACACACACATATATATATATATATATATATATATATATATATATATATATATATATATATATATATATATATATATACACACATACATACATACATACATACATACATACATATACACACACTCACCAGCCACTTTATTAGGTACACCTCTCCAACTGCTCATTAATGCAAATTTCTAATCAGTCACTCATGTGCATGGTTTGATGAGTCTTGATTTCTGCTGCAACATTCGGATAGTAGGGTCAGAATTTGGTGTCAACAAAATTAAAGCATCGATCAATCCTGCCTTATATCAATAGTTCAGGCTGGTGGTGGTGGCGTAATGGTGTGGGGGATATTTTCTTGGCAATTGAGCATTGTGTCAATGCCACAGCCTACCTGCGTATTGTTGCTGATCATGTCCATCCCTTTATGATCACAGTGTACCCATCTTCTGATGGCCACTTCCAACAGGATTACGTGCCATGTCATAAAGTGTGAATCATCTCAGACTGGTTTCTTGAACATGAAAATGAGTTCACTGTACTCCACGGTCACCAGATCTCAGTCCAATAGACAAAGCACCTTTAGGATGTGGCAGAACAGAAGATTCACGTCATGGATGTGCAGCTGACAAATCTGCAGCAACTGTGTGATGCTATCATGTCAGTATGAACCAAAACCTCTGAGGAATATTTCCAGTACCTTGTTAAATGCCATGAAGGATTAAGACAGGTCTGAAGGCAAAAGGGGTGTAAATGTAAGGAGTAGGGATGCTTATTTCGGATAATTTTGCTAACCAACAACCGCCACTCGTTAATTGGTTATTAACGGTTAACTGGTCAGATTACTATAATTAAAAAAAAAAAATTCACATGTCTATTTTGAGTCTGGCACATTAAATATTGCATTTTGAAATACTGATTTATTTTAATATGCTAGCATATTAATAACAGAACATAACAACAGAGCATTGTCACGCACCTGCAGTGTTTCCAATAGCACAGAAAAACAGAACAAACTAAATCAAATGAATAAAATAAATAGGCCTGCCCTAAATAATTTCCCCTCAAAGATTCATTTAGATTACAAAACGAAAACAATGACTGATCCTTTTTAAGAAAGGGCATAGGCTGTTTTGTTTTTTTTTATAATTAGTTTTTGTCTTCCGTCAAATAAAAATAGCAGACTTTCTCAAACTGGTGGCTCTACGGAAAATATGCATTTATTTAATGCCCCGCTGTTGTTATTATATCACAAACCTTTTTACATTTTTTAATAGAAGTCATTATTTTAAAGATTATGTCTTGTTGATTCCTCTCTCTCACGCGATTCAAGTGCGCGTTGCATAATGAAATGACAAAACTGACAACGCGTGCATATGTTGACTTTTTGTAAACAGTTTTGTTGTTTAAATATTATATTGCATTAATTTGCATACATGCATTATAAGCAATAAAATAAAAGGTAAAGCCTATTTGTTGTGTTTATGATGCAGATCCAGGAGGCGATCAGCATCAGCGCTGGTTTGGCATCGACTCGTCTGTATAAAACAGCCATATTCTTCTTCCATTTTGCTTTTTTGGCAAATATGTCTGTGGGCACGTGTGGTAATACGTTATCGTCCCGCGAGATAACAAATATGTGTTGCAGTTCAACAAGGGACCGATCACAGCAAACGTGATTTTCCCTTCCAAAAACGTGAGGCGCACCTCACTCCTTTTATGTTGACAAGGAAAAAAGAAGAAAATAAGCGCGGTCCTCTTTTTTTGTCACAACGAAACGACTGAATCAGCTGGGTATTGATTGTGTGTATATGTATAGAGTGTATCATGCAAGTAAATGTTTAGAGTGTATGATGTGTGTGTTTATGTATCGATTGCATCATGCATTTTTTTGCCTTGCCTGACTTTGTTTCTTAATTCCTTTTCGTTTTATCGGATTCATTAATATCCAGCAGCTCAGTGGTTACGTGACTCACCTCACACGCCAGAAACCAGGTATTATCCCAGACCCTGACAGGAGTGTATCATG